TCGAGAACAGCCTGACCAATATGATGAAACCCTGTCTCTACTAAAAATACAAAAATTAGCCGGGTGTGGTGGTGGGCACCTGTAATCCCAGCTACTTGGGAGGCTGAGACAGAAGAATTGCTTGAACCTGGAAGGGGGAGGTTGCAGTGAGCTGAGATTATGCCACTGCACTCCAGCCTGGGTGACAGAGCGATACTCTGCCTCAAAAAAAAAAAAAAAAAGGTAAAAGAAAGAAGTGAGAGGAAGGGATTAAAAAGAGCCAGGATAGGCTGGGGTTGGTGGCACACGCCTGTAATCCCAGCACTTTGGGAGCCCAAGGTGGGCAGATGACGAGGTCAAGAGATTGAGACCATCCTGGCCAACATGGTGAAACCCTGTCTCTATTAAAAATACAAAAATTAGCCGGGTGTGGTGGTGTGTAGTCTCAGCTACTTGGGAGGCTGAGGCAGAAGAATTGCTTGAATCCAGGAGGCAGAGGTTGTAGTGAGCCAAGATTGTGCCACTGCACTCCAGCCCTGGGTGACAGTGAGACTCCGTTTAAATAAAATAAAATAAAAAAGGCCGGGTGCAGTGGCTCATGCCTATAATCCCAGCACTTTGGGAGGCCAAGGCGGGTAGATCAAGAGGTCAGGAGATTGAGACCATCCTGGCTAACACGGTGAAACCCCGTCTCTACTAAAAATACAAAAAATTAGCTGAGCGTGGTGGCGGGTGCCTGTAGTCCCAGCTACTTGAGAGGCTGAGGCAGGAGAATCACTTGAACCCGGGAGGCAGAGCCTGCAGTGAGCCGAGATCGTGCCACTGCACTCCAGCCTGGGCAACAGAGTGTGACTCCATCAAGAAAGAAAGAAAGAAGGAAAGAAAGAGAAAGAAAGGAAGGAAAGAAGGAAGGAAGGAAGGAGAAAAAAGAGAGTGAGCTAGGATAGACAACTAATATAAGGAGAGTGTTTGGTTAGTTTTTTTTTTTTTTTTTTGAGATGGACCCTTGCTCTGTCGCCTTGGTGGGAGTGCCTCAACTTCCCAAGTAGCTGGGATTACAGGCGTGCACCACCAGGCCCAGCTAATTTTTGTAGTTTTAGTAGAGACGGGATTTCACCATGATGGCCAGGCTGGTCTTGAACTCCTGACTTCAAGTGATCCTCCTGCTTCGGCCTCCCAAAGTGCTGGGATTACAGGCGTGAGCCACCGGGCCCGGCCTTCACTTCCCTTCTTAGCTAGCTTAAATGTCTTTTAAATTTTTTTTAGTGGGGTCTTGCTCTGTCATCCAGGTTGGAGTGTAGTGGTGTGATCACAGCTCACTGCAGCCTCAACCTCCCAGATTCACTCTAAACTGGGCTAGGCAGACCTGGCAAGGCAGTATGTGGAGGGAGTGGAGGGATGTGGAGGGAGTGGAACACAACATTGAGAGACCCAGTCAAGAGGACCCAGGCCCGGCTCAGTGGCTCACGCCTGTAATCCCAGCACTTTGGGAGGCCGAGGTGGGTGGATCAACTGAGGTCAGGAGTTTGAGACCAGCCTGGAGAACATGGTGAAATGCCATCTCTGCTAAAAATACAAAAACTAACCAGGCATGGTGGCAGACACCTGTAGTCCCAGCTACTCCAAGGCTGAGGCAGGAGAAACAATTGAACCTGGGATGGGGAGGTTGCAGTGAGCCAAGATCACGCCACCACACTACAGCCTTGGGCAACAGAGGGAGACTCTGTCTCAAAAAAAAAAAAAAAAAAAAAAAAAAAGATGACCTAGAGGAGACTGACTAAAATTTTCATCCATCTTACCCTCTTTCTACTGTGTCCCTTCTCTCCCTCCCCAACATCTTCCCTTCCCTTTTTTTTTTTTTTTTTTTTTGCAACAGAGTCTTGCTTTGTCACCCAGGCTGGAGTGCAATAGTGTGATCTCAGCTCACTGCAACCTCTGCACCCCAGGTTCAAGTGATTCTCCCATGTCAGCCTCCCGAGTAGCTGGGACTAGAGAAGCCTGCCACCATGCTGGCTAATTTTTGTATTTTTAGTAGAGACAGGGTTTCCCCATGTTGGTCAGGCTGGTCTTGAACTCCTGACCTTAAGTGATCCGCCTGCCTTGGCCTCCCAAAGTGCTGGGATTACAGGCATGAGCCACAACTCCCAGCCTCCTTATTTTCCCTCCCTCCCTCCCTCCTTCTTTCCCTCCCTCCCTCCCTTCTTTCCTTCCTTCATTCCTTCCTTCCTTTTCTTTCTTTTTATTGAGGTAAGGTCTTGCTGTATCGCCCAGATGGGTGTGCAGTCATAGGATCATAGCTCATCGCAGCCTCCATCCTCCTACCTCAGCCTCCCGAGTAGCTGGGACTACAGGTGTGTGCCACCACGCCCAGCTGATTAAAAAAAAAATTAGAGATAGTGTCGTCTGTGTTGCCCACACTGGTCTCGAACTCCTGGCCTCAAATGACCCTTCTGCCTCAGCCTCCCAAAGTGTTGGGATTACAGGTGCAAGCCACTCCACCTTGCCACAGTCTTTTTTGTTTGTTTGAGACAGGGTCTCACTCTGTCACCCAGACTCGAGTGCAGTGGCACTATCATAGCTCACTCAACCTCCTGGGCTCAAGGGATCTTCCAGTTTCAGCCTCCTGAGGAGCTGGGACAACAGGCATGCACCACCACGCCTGGCTAATTGTTTTCTTTTCTTCTTTTTTTTTTTTTTCGGTTTTTTTGAGATGGAGTTTTGCTCTTGTTGCCCAGGCTGGAGTGCAGTGGCGCGATCTCAGCTCACCACAACCTCTGCCTCCCGTGTTAAAGCGATTCTCGGCCGGACGCGGTGGCTCAAGCCTGTAATCCCAGCACTTTGGGAGGCTGAGACGGGCGGATCACAAGGTCAGGAGATCGAGACCATCCTGGTTAACACGGTGAAACCCCGTCTCTACTAAAAAATACAAAAAAAAAAAAAACTAGCCGGGCGAGGTGGCAGGCGCCTGTAGTCCCAGCTACTCGGGAGGCTGAGCCAGGAGAATGGCGTAAACCCGGGAGGCGGAGCTTGCAGTGAGCTGAGATCTGGCCACTGCACTCCAGCCTGGGCAACAGAGCTAGACTCCGTCTCAAAAAAAAAAAAAAAAAAAAAGCGATTCTCCTGCCTCAGCCTCCCCAGTAGCTGGGATTACAGGTGCGTGCCACCACGCCCAGCTAATTTTTGTATTTTTAGTAGAGATGGGGTTTCACCATGTTGGCCAGGATGGTCACAATCTCCTGACCTCGTGATCCGCCCACCTCGGCCTCTGAAAGTGCTGGGATTACAGGTGTGAGCCACCGCACCTGGCCCAATTTTTTAAAAAAAATTTTGTAGAGATGAGGTCCCACTATATTGCCCAGGCTGGTCTGGAGCTCTTGGGCTCAAGTGATCCTCCTGCCTCAGTCTTCCAAAATGCTGAGATTACAGGCGTGAGCCACCACACCCAGCTCCTTGCCACCATCTTGGTGCCAATCAAAATAGTCCTGAATAAATCTGACTTACTGTTTTAACAAGAGTCAGATTTTTTTCTTTAATAAGCGCAGTAGAAGAGGTGAACTGAAGAGGAGGGGCTGCAGTCATTGATGAAGACAAGGTCCAAGGCAAAACCACAGAGTAACAGGGTAAGGTGGAGGTTGAGATTTACAGAAACAGAGTTCAGTGACGGACAGGCCAGGGTATGCAAGGGAGTGCTTATAACTGACCCTGAAAACGTTTTTTTTTTTTTTTTTTTTTGAGACAGAGTCTCTTTCTGTCGCCCTGGCTGGAGTGCAGTGGTGCAATCTCAGCTCACTGCAACCTCTGCCTCCCAGGTTCAAGCGAACCTCCTGCCTCAGCCTCCTGAGTAGCTGGGACTGCAGGCGCACGCTTCAGTTCAGAAGTTCCAGAGAAGCCTGGGCAACATGGCAAAACCCGGTCTCTACAAAATATTTAAAAATTAGCCAGGCGTGGTGGTGTGTCTCTGTGTAGCTCCAGGCACTCAGGAGGCTGAGGCAGGATGCTTGAGCCAGAAAGGCTGAGGTTGCAGTGAGCCGAGATCGCGCCACTGCACTCCTGCCTGTGCAATAATCCCTGGATTCAAAAAAAAAAAAAAAAAAAAAGAAATGAAAAGAAATGTATCTGAAACTCTCCAAGCTTCAATTTGCTAATCTGAAAAATTGAAATAGCGGTACCAACCTCACAGAGTGGCTAATTTAATACAGTGCTATTTGCAAGGGATAATTTATCGAACCTTTAGGTGTTGTTCTAGAGTACCTATTAGGTCACTGAACTCACAACCTTAGGAGGGAGTTTCGAGTTTATGCCCATTTTACACGAGGACGCGTTGGCAGGCGATACTGCTGTTCATGGGATCTGTAAAGAGTGAAAAAAGAGTCTCAGCTCTCAGTAGAGTTCACAGGCTCTAGGGTTTCTGCTGGAGGTGAGAACACTGTGCAGGGAGGCACGAAAGCGGGCATCAGATGGTGCAAAGCGACGCTGGGCCCAGCTCGGCGGCCAATGGCTCCCTCCGGTGGCCGAAGCGAAGAGCGCAGCTGGATCGGGCGCGAAGAGAGGATCCCCGCAGCCTGTCAGGGGCGAGGCTGGAACCCGGTGGAGGTTCTAGGGCTTTGAAAGGTTGGAGGACTAGGACTCCAGAAGTCCCCGAACGAAGCGGGCCGGAGTTCCAGGTGACGCACCTGGCTCAGGTGTCGCAGCCCCGCCCACCTCCCTGCCGCCTTCCGCCGTCCTCACACGCCCCCTTTAGGAGGGTGGCTGCTCCCGACGCCTCGGAGCTCGGATTGGGGTCCGGTCCCCGCGGCCACGATTGTTTGCACCTAAGTGATGGAGGCTCCGAGACCCGCGGCCCACGCCCTGCCGGGGACGCTTGTCTGCAGGGCTGCATTGCAACCCAGGCGCACGTGGAGCTGGAGCCGCGCGGGCTGGGGGAGCGCACAGAGGGTCGGGCTTCCCCGGGCGCGCCCACGGGGCGGGGCCGAGGACGGGGACCAATGGCGCGCGCGTGCTGGTGGGGGTGGGGACAGGCTCCGGGCCTGGCATCCCGGTAGCCGCAGCTGTCTTTTCCGGCCCCCGTGCGCTCTCCGCCCGAGGCGGAGCCCCCCGGCTCGCGGGGATCCCCCGAGCGCTGCGTCCTGCGGGTGGGTGAGTGAGTGCCCCGCGGTCCCCGAGATGTGGGGTGCATCTGGCCGGGGAGAAGGAGATCTTGGCTCCTTTGCACCCCAGCGGGCGCAAAGGGGCAGGAGCCCGGGTTGGGGGAGGAGGAGGAGGACCCGGGGACCTTGTGTCGCTCGGTGGGAGCCTGTCTGTGTTTCTGTTTTGCTAGTCGAGGGGTGTGTTTGGGTTGGTAGAGTTTGTAGGGGGGGTGCCTCGTGTGGATGGGAGGAATCTGGGGAGGCTAAGGCGAGGGTGGGGGGTTGAGATGGGTTGAGGGAGAGGATTGACGGAGGGTGGGGTTTTGAAAGAGTTGGAAGTTTCTTGGGTGCGGTGATTGCATGGGGGGTCTCGGTAGGGGCAGCTCAGGACACCGAAGGAGAGGATGGCGAAGGCTCTCCTGCCCACAACTTACTTCCCTTTTGGGAGATTTGCTTCCTCTTGCATTGCTAGTTAAGGAAGGAGAGGCTGGAGTAGCCTGTGCCGTCAGAGAACCTTTGCCCCTTTGCAGAACCGGTGCCATCCCTAGTCTCAGGAACATAGGGGAAGGGGTGGCCCCCAGGAGCCAGGAGTGGCCCTGAAACTCTTGCTGACAGGTTTGGGGTACCACTTTTTTTGTGGAGCAGTGGCTGGTACCATTTACAGCCCTATGGGCTCTTTTTAGCTGCTGGTAAGCAGGGTGTGGGTGCGTTCCTGTTTCCTTGTGGTTGTGTCTTTTTTTGTTTTTTTCTTGAGACAGGGTCTCGCTCTGTCACCCAGGCTGGAGTGCAGTGGCGCGATCTCGGCTCGCTACAGCCCTAAGCCTCCAGGACTCAGGTGATTCTTGTGCCTCAGCCTCCCAAGTAGCTGTGATTACAGGCATGCACCTGCATGCCTGGCTAATTTTTTTTGTTTGTTTGAGACAGTCTCACTCTGTCGCCCAGGCTGGAGTGCAGCGGCGCGGTGTTGGCTCACTGCAACCTCTGCCTCCTGGGTTCAAGCAATTCTCCTGCCTCAGCCTCCCAAGTAGCTGGGACTATAGGCATGAGCCACCACGCCTGGCTAATTTTTGTATTTTTAGTAGAGACGGGGTTTCACCATGTTGACCAGGGTGGTCTCGAACTCCTGACCTCAGGTGATCCGCCCACCTCGGCCTCCCAAAGTGCTGGGATTACAGGCGTGAACCACTGAGCCCGGCCAATTTTTGTATTTTTAGTAGAGAGCAGCTCTCTCTTTTGGGGAGGCTTTGGGATATTTGATTAGTGGTCTTTGGGGGTGGGTGGGCTCTGTGGGGCTGCTTTTGATGCAACATAATCTCCTTTGCAGGTCACCTAACCCATTTGTGTCTTCCTCTACCCGTGCTCAGCCATGGCCAGTGAGAGCTCACCTCTGCTGGCCTACCGACTCCTGGGGGAGGAGGGGACTGCCCTCCCTCTCAATGGGGCCGGGGCTCCTGGAGGGGCATCTGCCCGGAAGCTGTCCACCTTCCTGGGTGTGGTGGTGCCCACTGTCCTGTCCATGTTCAGCATAGTTGTTTTTCTGAGGATTGGTGAGTGGGTTCTGGGGCGCGTGTGGACTGACTGTAGTATAGGAGGACATGATGGGGAGAGGTGGAGATGGGACTGGGATGAGAGTAGGAAGGGGGACCCAAGAGAAGTGGTTGGCTAAAGGGTTTGGGGAGGGGCTCCCTGTGGGCTTGCATTTAGCTCCACCCTGGAACTCTGCAGACCCAGGGGGTGGGGGATATAGGGTGTGAGCCCCTGTGACCTGACTCGCTGCTCCTGCCTCAGGGTTCGTGGTGGGCCATGCTGGGCTGCTGCAGGCCCTGGCCATGCTGCTGGTTGCCTACTTCATCCTGGCGCTCACCGTCCTTTCTGTCTGTGCCATCGCCACCAATGGAGCCGTGCAGGGGGGCGGAGCCTACTGTATCCTCCAACATCAATGGACTGGGGTCTGGGCTGTTCTGCCTGCTCGGGAGGGTGTGGAAGGGGCCATTACCTTTGTTGGCTCAGGGGCGAGACAAGTGTTTTTCTTCATTCTTAAAATTTTTTGCCGGGCGTAGTGGCTCATGCCTGTAATCCAGCACTTTGGGAGGCCGAGGTGGGCGCATCACGAGGTCAGGAGATCGAGACCATCCTGGCTAACACGGTGAAACCCTGTCTCTACTAAAAGTATAAAAAAAAAAAAAAAAAAATTAGCCAGGCATGGTGGCGGACGCCTGTAGTCCCAGCTAGCGGGAGGCTGAGGTAGGAGAATGGTGTGAACCTGGGAGGCAGAGCTTGCAGTGAGCAAAGATCGTGCCATGCACTCCAGCCTGGGCGACAGAGCGTAACTCCGTCTCAAAAAAAAAAAAAAATTTTTTTTATGCTGGGTGCGGTGGCTTATGCCTGTAATCCCAGCACTTTGGGAGGCTGAGGTGGGCGGATCACTTGAGGCCAGGAGTTCAAGACCAGCCTGGCCAACATGGTGAAAACCCGTCTCCACTAAAAATACAAAAATTAGTTGGGCATGTTGGCACTTGCCTGTGATTCCAGCTACTCGGGAGGCTGAGGCACGAGAATCGCTTGAACCTGGGAGGTGGAGGTTGCAGTGAGCCAAGATCGCATCACTGCACTCCAACCTGGGCAGCAGAGCAAGACACTGACTCCCAGACTGCAGTGCAGTGGCGCCATCATAGCTCACTGCGGTCTTGACTTCCTGGGCTCAAGTGATCCTCCTGCCTCAGCCTCCTGAGTAGCTGGCACTATAGGCATGAACCACCACCCCTGTTTAATTTTTAAATTTTTTGTAGAGATGGAATCTTGCTATGTTTCCCAGGCTGGTCTTGAATTCTTGGCCTCAGGTGATCCTCTTGTCTCAGCCTCCCAAAACGCTGGGATTACAGGTGTCAGTCACTATGCCTGGCCTGGCAGGGCAAGTTTTAATAAATGTGCAGCAGGCAGGCTCGTATAATGAAGGAGATCAACATTGCCCTACATGTTAATGCCAATTTCTGGTCTAACAATCTCATCTGTTAGGCAGTGATTGTTTTACAGATGCAGAAACTGGCACTCAGGGGGTATGAGTGACTTGTGCAAAGCCACATGGCTGGGGCCTGGCTGCACTCAGGTTAAGTGCTTGGAGCTATGGCAACTTCCTCACGTCCATTTCAGTCTCTTTTCCCTTAATGCTTCCACTTTCAGTCATGATCAGCCGCACACTGGGGCCCGAGGTCGGGGGCAGCATTGGGCTCATGTTCTACCTGGCTAACGTCTGTGGCTGTGCCGTCTCCCTGCTGGGACTGGTGGAGTCTGTGCTTGACGTCTTCGGGGCCGGTCTGTGCTCTGTCTGATCTGGGCAGTGCTGCGGGTTTGCAGGGTCTGGGAGTGTGGGATCATGAGGGAGAAGGTCCTCTACAGGAGAGGGGCAGACTGAGCCATTACCTTGGCTTTCTGGAGCTTCTGCTGTGTGGCCAGCATCGTGCAGGAGATGTGGACATCTCTGAGATTGTCCTTGCCTGCAGGGAGCTTGGATCTAATCGGAGAGACAGGCTAAGATTCTTAAAATTGACAGAGACCACCAGGGAGAGCTAAGATGCTGGGATGGAGCTAAGAGGGAAGTGGGGAAGGTGGTCTCTCTGACAGCAGGTGGGTAGAGGGGGCTTGTCTTGCTTTGGGTCATGGTTGGGGCTGGGTACCTTCTTTTTTTTTATTTTTTATTTTTTTATTTTTGAGATGGAGTCTTGCTTTGTCACCCAGGCTGGAGTGCAGTGGTGCGATCTCCCCTCACTGCAACCTTTGCCTCCTGCGTTCAAGCGATTCTCCTGCCTCAGCCTCCTGAGTAGTTGGGATTACAGGCACTCACCCCCACGCCTGGCTAAGGATTGTATTTTCAGTAGCGACGGGATTTCACCGTGTTGGCCAGGCTAGTCTCGAACTCCTGACCTCAAGTGATCTACCTGCCTCAGCCCTCCCAAAGTGTTGGGATTACAGGTGTGAGCCCTGGCGCCCTGCCCCCCTTTTTTTTTTCTTTTTTCTTGAGGCAAGGTCTTACTCTGTCACCCAGGCTAGAGTGCAGTGGTACCATCTCGGCTCACTGTAACTTCTGCCTCCCGGGCTCAAGCGATTCTCCTACCTCAGCCTCCCAGTAGCTGGGACTACAGGCATGCCTCCCCACGCCTGGCGAATTTTTGCAGTTTTTGTGGAGTTGGGGTTTCACAATGTTGCCAAGGCTAGTTTTAAACTCCTGGACTCAAGTGATCCTCCCACCTCAGCCTCCCAAAGTGCTGGAATTATAGGCGTGAGCCACCCACCATGCCCGGCTGGTGGGGTGCCTTAGGATCGGGCCTTCTAACTCTGTCCCTACCTCTTTCCAGATGCCACAGGGCCCAGTGGGCTCCGGGTCCTGCCCCAGGGCTACGGCTGGAACCTGCTGTATGGCTCCCTGCTGCTGGGCCTTGTGGGTGGGGTCTGCACCCTGGGAGCTGGCCTCTACGCCAGGGCCTCATTCCTCACATTCCTGCTGGTCTCCGGCTCCCTGGCCTCTGTGCTTATCAGCTTTGTGGCTGTGGGGCCAAGGGACATCCCCTTGACCCCTCGGCCTGGCCCCAATGGCTCCTCCCTGCCACCCCGGTTTGGCCACTTCACCGGCTTCAACAGCAGTACCCTGAAGGACAACTTGGCTGGTGAGCTGGGCACTGCCGTGGCAGGAATCTCGGGGCGAGGGGTGGGCAAGCATCAGGGCTGGGCCCTTAAAAGTCTCTGGATGAGCACAGGTGTCAGAGGGAATGGTGGGCAGGAGGTCTGGACTGCAGAGCAGTGCAGTTTAATTCAGGCCTGTCTAGCATGTGTTTGGCCAGCGGGGCAGGAGGAAGCCCACAAAACAGTCCCTGCTTTAGAGGAACTTGTGTTCTAGCTGAGGAGAGACGTGCATTTAGGAATCAGTTAAATAGCACAGTAAGGCCCAGCATGACTTTAACAGATCAGGATCTCCCAGGAGTGGAGAGAGGGAGGCCTGACTATGGGCTGGGGAGGGCAGGAGCCAGGGAGCTGGAGGTAGCCTGAGATAGATGGGTGGGGGATTCAGTCAGGAGCCGGGAACAGAGAGGGAAAGCATCTCAGGGAAGAGCTGGAGACTGGGTGTGGGGACTCACATCTGTAATCCCAGCATTCTGGGAGGCTGAGGCAGGAAGATCACCTGAGGTCAGGAGTTTGAGACCAGTCTGACCAACATGGTGAGACCCTCTCCCCGTCTCTACTAAAAATACAAAAATTAGCTGGGCACGCTGGCTTGCACCTGTAGTCCCAGATACTCAGGAAGCTGAGAGAGAATTGCTTGAACCTGGGAGGTGGAGGTTGCAGTGAACCGAGATTGCGCCATTGCACTCCAGCCTGGGTGACAGAGCGAGGTTCCATCTCCAAAAAAAAAAAAAACAAACCAAAAACCATAAAATAAAAATACAAAAATTAGCCAGGAGCAGTGGTGCACTCCTGTAGTCCCAGCTACTCAGGAGGCTAAGGCATGAGAATCGCTTGAACCCGGGAGGCAGAGGCTGCAGTGAGCTAAGATCGCCACCCCTGCACTCCAGCCTTGGCTTCAGAATGAGATTCCGTCTCAAAAAAAAAAAAAAAAAAAATAGGCTGTGTGCGGTGGCTCACGCCTGTAATCCCAGAACATTGGGAGGTTGAGCTGGGTGGATCACCTGAGGCCAGGAGTTCGAGATCAGCCTGGCCAACATGGTGAAACCCCATCTCTACTAAAGTTACAAAAATTAGCCAGGCGTGGTGGCGGGCACCTGTAACCTCAGCTACCTGAGAGGCTAAGGCAGGAGAATCGCTTGAACCAGGGAGGCAGAGGTTGCAGTGAGCCGAGATCACACCACTGCACTCTGGCCTGGGTAACAGAGCGAGACTCCGTCTCAAAATAAATAAATAAATAAATAAATAAATAAATAAAAATTAAAAAGTTAGATGGGCATGGTGGTGCACACCTGTAGTCCTAGCTACTTGGAAGACTGAGGCAGGAGGATCGCTGTAGCTCAGGAGGGAGAGGTTGCAGTGAGCCACTGCACTCCAGCCTCGGTGACAGAGCGAGATCCTGTCTCTAAATAAATAAATAAATTTATAAATAAATAAATAAATAAAAGAGTATGGATTAGGGTCTGGAGGGAGGAATGTCAGAGCATTAGGGGGACGTGGCAATGTGTCTGGCTGACCCAGGGCCAGTGCAGGGGCAGGCTGGTGTCTTAGTGAGTACAGTGCAAGGGGACTGTGGGAATGTGCGGAGAGGGTGGCTAAGAGGCCTGGATCCCCGAGAGGGATGCTGATGCCCTCTCCTCCCTGGGACGATCCTCCTAGCTGGCTACGCTGAGGACTACACCACAGGAGCCATGATGAATTTTGCCAGCGTCTTTGCTGTCCTCTTTAACGGCTGTACAGGCATCATGGCTGGGGCCAACATGTCAGGTGAGAGTCCCTGCCTGCTGCCTCCTGGGGGTTTGGGGCTGCCACTGTGAGGGACCCCGGGGGACGGTGGGAGGGCTGACCTCGCTCCCTCTGCTCCCCCCTCTCCAGGGGAGCTGAAGGACCCCAGCCGGGCGATCCCTCTGGGCACGATCGTCGCTGTCGCCTACACCTTCTTCGTCTATGTCCTGCTTTTCTTCCTCTCCAGCTTCACCTGTGACAGGTGTCTGGGGAGGGACGGGGGTGGAGTGTCGAACAAGATTGGTGCATCTGGGTCACCAAGGGAAGCACAGGCTGGGGGACTGGGGAGCAGAAACCCAGCTTGTTGGAGTGGAGGGAAAATAGGGGGAGGGTAGCTACCAGCGATTGACAACCTGTAGCCAGCAGCTGCCATGGACCCAGTGCTGTTGTAAGCACTTAGCTTGCAAGTGAGGGTGGCTAGTGACTTTCTACCCAGTTTGCATTTCCACAGATATTTGGCCTTTTGTGCATATACCGTTAGGTATGACAGCCGGGTGCGGTGGCTCACACCTGTAATCCCAGCACTTTGGGAGGCTCGGGCAGGAGGATTGCTGGAGCCCAGGGGTTCCAGACCAGCCTGAGCAACATAGCAAGACCCTCCCCCCAAATACAAAAATTAGCCAGGCGTGATGGCAAATGCTTGTAGTCCTGGCTACTTGGGAGGCTGAGGTGGGAGGATTGCTTGAGTCCAAGAGGTTGAGGCTGCAGTGAGCTATGAGTATAGCACTGCACTTTAGCCTGGGGGTTGGAGTGAGACCTTGTCTCTTAAAAAAAAGAGAAAGGAATGACCACTGAGTGATTAAATCCAAGGCCGCCCAATGAATACCAGGCATATCCCTTTAGCACATTTGATATCTGAGTCTGATCCTTAAGATCAGGGCTGGAGATTTTCCTACCCCATGACGCATGATCATCTGTGTCCAACTTTCCCTCCTTCCTAGGACCCTGCTGCAGGAAGACTATGGGTTCTTCCGTGCCATCAGCCTGTGGCCCCCACTGGTGTTGATTGGAATCTATGCCACCGCGCTCTCAGCATCCATGAGCTCGCTCATCGGCGCCTCCCGCATCCTCCATGCCCTGGCCCGGGATGACCTCTTTGGTGGGTTCTCTGCCTCCTTGCTGGCTCGGAGCACGCCCTCCCTTGTCTGTTTGTCCATCCCCGTTAGGCCCCGGCTGATGTGTCTGCTATGGATTCTGTTTTTCTAGGAGTGATCTTGGCGCCGGCCAAGGTTGTGTCCCGGGGCGGAAACCCCTGGGCGGCTGTACTGTATTCTTGGGGCCTGGTGCAGGTGAGCCTTCTTCTTCAAGGGGCCCTTTCCCTCACCCCACCAGCTGGCAGGATGGGGGCGCAGTTAGATGCAGGCTGGAAGACAAATGCAAAGGCAGATGTGTATGCACTTGGCGGTGCACTGGCACTCTGCAGCGTTCACTGGCACTTTGCGGGGTTCACCAGCACTTTGCAGGTTGCCCCAGTGCTTTGCAGGGTTCATTGGCACCCTGGGGGGGTTCACTGACACTTTTTGGGGTACATGGGCATTTTGCAGGGTTCACTGACACTTTGTGGGGTATATTAGTATTTTTCAGGGTTCACTGGCACTTTGTGGGGTGCCCCAGCACTTTGGGGGATTCACTGGCACTCTGTGGGATGTACCAACACTTTGTGGGGTTCACTGACACTTTGGAGGTTTGGTGGCACTCTGTGGGGGTGCACTGGCCCTTTCTGGGGTTCATTGACACTGGGGGTACAGTGGCACTTTGCAGGGCTCATGAGCACTTTTCAGGGTTCATCGACACTTTGGGGTGCACTGGCCCTTTCTGGGGTTAATTGACATTTTGGGGTGTGCTGGCACTTTGCATGGTTCACTGGTACTTTCCAGGGGTTCACTGACACTTTGGGGGTACACTGGCACTTTCCGGGGTTCATTGACACGGGGGTCACTGGCACTTTTAGGGTTTAATAGCATTTTGGGGGTTGGGTTCATTGACACTTTGGGGGTGCACTGGCGCTTTGCAGGGTTCACTGGCACTTTCTGGGGCTCACTGACACTTTGGGGGTACACTGGCACTCTGGTGTTCACTGGCATTTTGGGGGTACACCGGCACTTTGGATCAATGGCACGCCTCTTGGCCTCTGCCCAGCTGGTGCTCCTGGCCGGGAAGCTGAACACGCTGGCTGCCGTGGTCACTGTCTTCTACCTGGTGGCCTATGCCGCTGTGGACCTGTCCTGCCTGAGCCTGGAGTGGGCCTCGGCCCCCAACTTCCGGTGAGAGACTCAGAGGCCTTTGTCCCCAGAGAGAAGAAGGAAGGAATGGGAAAACGGGGGGGACTCAGGCTCAGGCGTGGGGTTGGGGACAGCAGCCTCGGGTGCGGCCAGCCCTGAGTTTCTGTCTCTCCTCCCCTCCATGCCCGCAGCCCCACCTTCAGCCTGTTCTCCTGGCACACCTGCCTGCTGGGGGTGGCCTCCTGCCTGCTCATGATGTTCCTCATCAGCCCTGGTGCGGCTGGTGGCTCCCTGCTCCTCATGGGTCTCCTGGCTGCCCTGCTCACCGCGCGAGGAGGTCCCAGCAGCTGGGGCTATGTCAGCCAGGCCTTGCTTTTCCACCAGGTATCCCCGCGGAGCTGGCGGGGTGGTGGGGAGACGGGAGGTGGTCAAATAACCCCCTCTCTCTTTGGCTGGAGTTGGTGTTCCCGTCCAGGAGGTGCTGAACAGGGCTGTGTATTTGATCCTGCCACTTCCCCATCACCTCACCCATGTACCCAGGTGCGTAAGTATCTGCTCCGGCTGGACGTCCGGAAGGATCACGTGAAGTTCTGGCGGCCCCAGCTGCTGCTCCTGGTGGGGAATCCCCGGGGCGCCCTGCCTCTGCTGCGGTTGGCCAACCAGCTTAAGAAGGGGGGGCTCTACGTGCTGGGCCACGTCACCCTGGGAGACCTTGGTGAGCTGCCCTCCCACTCATTCACTCACTCCCATCCTTCTTTCCCCCTACCTTTTTTTTTTTTTTGAGATGGAGCTTCGTTCTGTTGCCCAGGCTGGAGTGCAGTGGGATGATCTTGGCTCACTGCAACCTCCACCTCCCAGGTTCAAGTGATTCTCCTGCCTTAGCCTCCTGAGCTGGGATTACAGGCACACACCACCATGCCCAGCTAGTTTTTGTATTTTTAGTAGAGAAGGGGTTTCACCCTGTTGGCCAAGCTGGTCTCGAACTCCTGACCTCAAATGCTCCACCCACCTTGGCCTCCCAAAGTGCTGGGATTGTAGGCATGAGACACTATGACCAGTCCCCCTCCCCCTGTTTTTTTTGAGACAAGGTCTTGCTCTGTCACCCAGATTGGAGGGCAGTGGTGCCATCATAGTTCACTGCAGCCTCAACCTCTTGGGCTCAAGCAATCCTCCTGCCTTGGCCTCCTGAGTAGCTGGGACTACAGGTGTGAGCCCCTAGGCCTGGCTAATTTGTAGAGATGAGGTCTTTTTATGTTTCCCAGGCTGGTCTGGAACTCCTGGCTCAAGCAACCCTCCCACTTTGGCCTCCCAAAGTGCAGGGATTATAGGCATGAGCCATGACACCAGCCCCTCTTCCCATTTTATTTTTTTATTTTTTTATTTTTGAGACGGAGTCTCGCTCTGCCGCCCGGGCTGGAGTGCAGTGGCTGGATCTCAGCTCACTGCAACCTCCGCCTCCCAGGTTTATGCCATTCTCCTGCCTCGGCCTCCCGAGTAGCTGGGACTACAGGCGCCCGCCACCTCACCCGGCTATTTTTTTGTATTTTTTAGTAGAGATGGGGTTTCACCATGTTAGCCAGGATGGTCTTGATCTCCTGACCTCGTGATCCGCCCGTCTCGGCCTCCCAAAGTGCTGGGATTACAGGCTTGAGCCACCACGCCCGGCCCCTCTTCCCATTTTATTTCCTTCCCCATGACCCCTCCAAGCAGCCATAGCCCTGCCTTGGCGCATCTGTGATTTGGACTCTAGGAGACATTGAGTTTGGCCAACACTGGCTACCTTCCTTTCCTTATCTTCTCTGTAGACTCCCTCCCCTCGGACCCTGTACAGCCGCAGTATGGGGCATGGCTCAGCCTGGTGGACCGGGCCCAGGTGAAGGCTTTTGTGGATCTAACTCTCTCACCCTCCGTGCGCCAGGGGGCTCAGCATCTGCTGCGAATCTCCGGCCTCGGTGAGCTGCTCCTCCCTGGATGCCCTTGGCCCTCCTCTGTGGCCACTTCATATCTCCGCTCTCCGCCCCTAGAGAGTCAGCCGCAGATTGCAAACTGCAAAAGGACCTTATAGTTGAGAGCAGATAAGACGGTGCTCAAAGATAATAGCCTCAGACAGTGTGTGATAAAGTCTAATAGGAGATGCTAGGGACTGGCAATGCTGTTGCGGTTTTTTTTTTTTTCCTTTTTTTTTTTTTGAGACGGAGTCTCGCTCTGTCTTGCCCAGGCTGGAGTGCAGTGGCACAATCTTGGCTCACTGCAGCCTCCGCCTTCCAGGTTCAAGTGATTCTCCTGTCTCAGCCTTCCGAGTCGCTGGCTGGGATTACAGGCGTGTGCTACCACGCCTGGCTAATTTTCGTATTTTTAGTAGAGATGGGGGTTTCACCATGTTGCCCAGGCTGGTCTTAAGCTCCTGACCTCAGGTGACCCACCCGCTTTGACCTCCCAAAGTGCTGGGATTACAGGCACCTGGCCTTTCTTTCTTTTTTTTTCTGACCCAAAAATTGGGGCATGGGCACTGAAGAGTGTATTTTTGGGGACAATGGAGCATTATTTGAATCTCCAGCTGCCTCATCAAATCAGGTGGTTTTTAACCACCAGCGTTCAGAGGAAGGCATGCCAGCCACTATGCACTGATATGGCCGGCAAAGGTTTTGCGGAGAGATGGTAATTCAGCCAGGCTTTGAAAGGGGTTGGGATGTAGGAGAAGTAACGTGTCTCCCCCGCCCCGCCCTGACCCGAAGCCACAAAGGATGCCAGAGGCTGTGTGGGGCGGACGCTTGTGGATGGAGCAGTGAATTCTCAGCTTTTAGCGCTGAGGCCACCGGGGTTATCTATGCTCAGTCACTGCCTTCTCCCTTAATCCTGGACCAGTACCTGTCACCAAAGTGCATGCTTCCTTCTCTATTCAGAGTCTAGCTGAAGTTCAACAGTGTTGGACATTGCCCAGTTCAGTGTAAATCAGAACCCTGGGAAATACTCAGGAGGGGGCATGACTAGTTTATTTTGCAAGATCAGCTGGAGTTCACACCTGCTGAGATGTGCTGGGGTGTCGCCAAGCATCATTGACCCACAGAGTGTCTGAGAGCCTGGTCTTCACTTTTTGTGCAGAGACCACAATGCTCATGAAAGTTTTCCTGTGGAAGATACCAGGTCGGTGCAAAAGCAATTGCGGTTTTTTTTTTTTTGGACAGGGTCTCACTCTGTTGCCCAGGCTGGAGTGCAGTGGCACGATGTTGGCTCACTGCAACCTCTGCCTTCCGGGTTCAAGTGCTTCTCCCATCTCAGCCTCCCAAGTAGCTGAGACTGCAGATACACGCCAGCATGTCTGGCTAATTTTTGTATATTTTTAGTAGAGATGGGGTTTCACCACATTGCCCAGGCTGATGTTAAACTTCCGACCTCAGGTCCGCCTCTGTCTCCCAAAGTGCTGGGGAGCCATTTTAATGGGAAAAAAAAAACCGCAATTACTTTTGCACCAACCTATTCCAATAAAAGGAAAAGTATTTCCTTTAAATGGTGAATTCTCCTATCATAGAAAATTTGACTTACGGGTTGAGCAATGTTTGCTTCATGAGAAGGGGTCTTGGAAGACGTCTCCGTGTCTCCCTGTAAATTCAGCCTGGTTCAAGGGGGCAATTATCCGATTCCACATGGGTTGTTCAAACATTAAGAACCAAGAGCTTGTCAGCAGGGACTTGGAGCATTGTGGTTGGCACATGCCCAGCTCGGTGGCTCAGAGTGTGGCCTCTCATGCTGGGTGGAGGCGGATTGCGTTGACCTACCTGCCCCAGTACCTACCAGCCGTGAGCCTGTGGGCAAGTGACTTCATCGCTTGGTGCTTTGGGTTCCTTATCAGTAAAAAGAGGAGACTAAATAGTACCTACCTCATAGCATTACTTCAAGGTTCAAATAAGTTAAAATACAAAGTGCTTTCTATAGGACACAGCCCCTGGTAAGCGGATACCATGCAATGAACCACCACGATTAGGGTTTTACAGTAAACACTGCTAGGGTTAGGGTTTACTGCAGTAAACATACTGGGTAGTCCTGGTTCTTTTTTTTTTTTTTCTTGAGATGGAGTCTTGCTGGAGTCTCACTCTGTTGCCCAGACTGGAGTACAGTGGTGTGATCTCAGCTGACTGCAACCTCCACCTTCCGGTTTCATGCAATTCTCATGTCTCAGCCTCCTGAGTAGCTGAGATTATAGGCACCCACCACAATGCCTGGCTAATTTTTGTATTTTTAGTAGAGACAGCATTTCACCGTATTGGCCAGGCTGGTCTCAAACTCCTGACCTCAGGTGATCTATGTGCCTCAGCTTCCCAAGCTGCTGGGATTACAGGTGTGAGCCACTGTGCCCTGCCTGGTCCATTTTCTCATCTTTCCATAGCAGAATCTGGGACGCTATTACCCTGGGGATTCAGGTCATCAGCTTGGCTGATCAGGGTGTCTGGTTTGCACAACTGAGTCAAACTCGCATCTCCTACCATGAAACAGACGCCCCGCTAGAAGCCGGGAGTGGACAGTGTCCTACTCTCTCCGCAGAATTGGAGTGCTCATTAGTGGCAAGAATCCTAATGCGAACTTTGCCTGTTTAAGTGGAGGAGATTAGTCACCGAGATAATAAAATAAATGCATGTGAAAGTGTTTAGGAAAAATGAAAAGTCATTATGCAAATGTGCAGAATGTTGCCGTGAGAGCCCGTACACAGTGGGAGTGTCATACCTATGGCTGACACTCATTGCTGTCAGCGTGTGGGAGCGTGGTGTAAACTTAGCCTGTGAGCCTGACTCCTGTCTGTTCCTGCCTTCCCCACTCTGCCCCCAGGTGGCATGAAGCCCAACACGTTGGTCCTGGGTTTCTACGATGACGCCCCACCGCAGGACCATTTCCTGACGGACCCGGCTTTCTCTGAGCCTGCAGACAGTACCAGGGAGGGCAGTTCCCCAGCTCTGAGTACCCTGTTCCCTCCTCCCCGGGCTCCTGGGAGCCCCCGGGCTCTCAGTCCCCAGGACTACGTGGCCACGGTGGCCGATGCCCTCAAGATGAACAAGAATGTGGTGCTGGCCCGGGCCAGTGGGGCCTTGCCCCCTGAGCGGCTGAGCCGGGGGTCTGGGGGCACCTCTCAGCTGCACCACGTGGACGTGTGGCCCCTCAACCTGCTGCGGCCCCGGGGTGGGCCCGGCTACGTGGACGTCTGCGGCCTCTTCCTACTGCAGATGGCAACCATCTTGGGCATGGTGCCCGCTTGGCATAGCGCCCGGCTCCGGATCTTCCTGTGCCTGGGGCCTAGGGAGGCGCCTGGGGCGGCCGAGGGGCGGCTGCGGGCACTGCTGAGCCAACTGAGGATCCGGGCTGAGGTGCAGGAGGTGGTGTGGGGCGAGGGGGCTGGGGCTGGGGAACCCGAGGTGGAGGAGGAAGGGGACTTTGTGAACAGTGGGCGGGGAGATGTGGAGGCAGAGGCCCTGGCACGCAGCGCCAACGCCCTGGTTCGGGCCCAGCAGGGGCGTGGCACAGGAGGAGGGCCGGGTGGGCCGGAGGGTGGGGATACCGAGGGCCCCACCACAGCCCTCACCTTCCTGTACTTGCCTCGGCCACCCGCCGATCCTGCCCGCTACCCCCGATACCTGGCGCTACTGGAGACTCTAACCCGAGACCTGGGCCCCACGCTGCTGGTTCATGGGGTCACCCCAGTCACCTGCACTGATCTCTGATGCCCCTGCCTCCAGGGCTGGGTAGAGAGGGCCCAGGCAGGTGGCCCATCCCGATCCTGAGGAGGAGGAAAGCACTGTGTCCCGTGGCCCTGCCCTTGGGACGTGGAGCCCAGGGGAGGTTTGAAGGGGATCATGCCACCTCCTTTGGCAGAGGGACTCCAGCACACTAACTCTGGGCGCCTCTCCCCACCGTGCAGGGGAGGGAGTCCGCAGCCTCCCTTCACTGGTGCCTTGATGCTAGGGGCCAGGCCTCCGTGACTCTGGGCTACCTCAGTTTCCCCATTTTGGCCAGACTCACCGGCCCACTGGGGTGGTGATGTTTTCGTTCTGTTTTATTTTTCTAACTCTGCTGACCATGAATAAAAGACCAAAACACTACAGGCTGGCTGAGCAGTGCTGGTGGGTAGCTGAGAGGGAGCGGGTGGGAAGGGAGAGCTCTGCAGAGGGGTGGAGATCGGAGCCTTCAGCCTCCCGCAGTGAGGCTGCCACGTGCAGGGCTGGGGCGCGGGGCCTGGACGCATCCGTGGACTTGGAGGCTGGCCCGGGCCTGCACCTCCCATCCCCAGCTGCCCGCAGCCCCCAGTGACTTGGGCTCCCCGGGAGAGCCCTCCCCTCTCGGCAGGAGGGGGCCGACTCGGGGAGAAATGGCAGTTTAGGGCCTAGGGGGCCACGTGACCCTCCCCCAGGAATGTGGTGACGTCATCGGGGGCGTGGTCGTCCCCAAAATTAGGGAGGAAGAGGAAAAAAAAAGACAGAAAAAGTTTTCTTTTCTGGAGTCCCAAACGAGGTGCGGGACGGAAGAGGGGTTGAAGGCCAGAGGCCCGAGGCTTCAAGACCGCTGTCTGGAGTACCCCCGTTCCAGGCCATGTCGGGGCCCACCTGGCTGCCCCCGAAGCAGCCGGAGCCCGCCAGAGCCCCTCAGGGGAGGGCGATCCCACGAGGCACCCCGGGGCCTCCACCGGCCCATGGAGCAGGTAAGGCAGCCCTTGTGAGACAGAAGAGCTACCCGGCTGTGGCGCTCACCTCTGTCCTCCAGCTCCAGCCTCCCGCCCTGCCTGCTTCCTCTTACCCCTTCCCCAAGCCGGGGGGAACAGCCGCCTGCGCTCTCTTGGGACCCTAGATTTGGGGGAGGAGGTAAGGAGGGGCAAAGAGGGCAGCTCCCCAAATGCACACCCCTCCTGTCCTCCGCCACCCCACCTTTGATCTCTCTTCCCTCAACCCAGCACTCCAGCCCCACCCCAGGGTCAATTTTTGCCCCCTCCCATCTGAGCAGTGTTACCAGGCCCCAGGGGGACCGGAGGATCGGGGGCCGGCCTGGGTGGGGTCCCACGGAGTACTCCAGCGCACGCAGGTGAGAACTGGGATTGCGGGGTGGGATGTGCGGCGTCCCTAGAACCGAGTCTGGGGGACCCAGGACAGGAGAAGGCCTATGGTGATTTGCATTCTTCCCTGCTCTGGCTTCATCCTCAGGGGCTCCCTGCAGACAGGGGGGGCCTTCGCCCCGGAAGCCTGGATGCCGAGATAGACTTGTTGAGCAGCACGCTGGCAGAGCTGAATGGGGGTCGGGGTCATGTGCCACGGCGACCAGAGCGACAGGTGACTCTGCCCCTCCTCCCCATCGGCACCCTGTCCCCTTCTCTGGACTCTCAGACCCAGCCCGACCCCCCGATGTATGTGATGTGCACCTCAGCATGGAGGAAGCATGGCTGCAAGTACCAACATGTCAGCCACTTGAGGACGGGACCTTGCCAAATGCAAAAGCCTGTGCTTCCCCACACCCAGGGTCATTTCCACAAATGTGGGTCCTGGAGTGGGGGCCTTGCTTACGGCTTCTGGCCTGCGTTTCTCCTTAGGCATACGAGCCCCTGCCACCTCCTGCCTACCGCACGGGCTCCCTGAAGCCGAACCCAGCCTCGCCGCTCCCAGCGTCTCCCTATGGGGGCCCCACTCCAGCCTCCTATGCTACTGCCAGCACCCCAGCTGGTCCGGCCTTCCCCGTACAAGTGAAGGTGGCACAGCCAGTGAGGGGCTGTGGCCCACCCAGGCGGGGAGCCTCTCAGGCCTCTGGGCCCCTCCCGGGTCCCCACTTTCCTCTCCCAGGCCGAGGTGAAGTCTGGGGGCCTGGCTATAGAAGCCAGAGAGAGCCAGGGCCAGGGGCCAAAGAGGAAGCTGCTGGGGTCTCTGGCCCTGCAGGAGGAGGAAGAGGAGGCGAGCACGGGCCCCAGGTAAGCCCTGGGGACCTGGGATTTCAGGTCCTACAGGCAATGGGACACTGATTGGGTGGGATGGCTGGTGGTGTTTTAGGGGGCTGGTTTTTTTTTTGAGACAGAGTTTTGCTCTTGTTTGCCCAGGCTGGGGTGCAGTGGTGCCATCTTGGCTCACTGCAACCTCTGGCTCCCGGGTTCCAGTGATTCTCCTGCCTCAGCCTCCCGAGTAGCTGGGATTACAGGCATGCGCCGCCACGCTCGGCTAATTTTTGTATTTTTAGTAGAGATGGGGTGAGCCACCACGCCTGGCTAAGGGGCTGGTTTTGGAGCAGAGTCAGAGGTCTGGGATGTGGAACAGGTAAGGGCGGGGCCGTGGTATGGGGGAGCAGGATAGAACTGCTCACTGGGGCCAGGTACAGTGGCTCACACCTGTAATCCCAGCACTTTGGGAGGCTGAGGCGGGTGGATCACCTGAGGTCGCGAGTTTGAGACCAGCCTGACAAACATGGAGAAACCTTGTCTCTACTAAAAATACAAAATTAGCCAGGCATGGTGGGGCGTGCCTGTAATCCCAGCTACTCGGGAGGTTGAGGCAGGAGAATCGCTTGAACCTGGGAGGTGGAGGTTGCGGTGAGCCGAGATCGCACCATTGCACTCCAGCCTGGGCAACAAGAGCAAAACTCCGTTTCAAAAAAAAAAAAAAAGAACTGCCCACGGGCCCCTGGGCTGAGATGTTCTCAGATGAGCTTTCTAGCTGGAATTGCCTGGCCACCTTCAGGGACATTACAGCAGTCCCCAGTCTTTTTGGCAACAGGGACCAGTTTTGGGGAAGACAATTTTTCCATGGACTGGGGAGGGCGATGGGAGGGGGATAGTTTCGGGATGATTCAAGCACATTACATTCATTGTGCACTTTATTTCTGTTATAATAATAGAACATACAATATATATAATTGTTTCATTATATATTACAATGTAATATATAACAACGTAATATATAACAACGTAACATATAACGAAACAATTATACAACTCATCATCATGTAGGATCAGTGGGAGCCCTGAACTTGTTTTCCTGCAACTAGACAGTCCCATCTGGGGGTGATGGGAGACAGTGACAGATCATCAGGCATTAGATTCTCATAAGGAGCTCACAAGCTACATCCCTCGAACGCACAGTTCACAATAGCGTTCACACTCTTATGAGAGTCTAATGCCCTGCTGATCTGAGAGGAGGCGGAGCTGAGGTGATAATGCAAGTGATGGGGAGTGGCTGTAAATACAGATGAAGCTTTGCCCATTGCTCACCTCCTGCTGTGCAGCCCGGTTCCTAACAGGCCATGGCCTGGGGGTTGAGGACCCTGGTATTATAGCATCAGGAACTAGAGTAGGACCGAGCCCCTGATTCCCACCTTCCAGGTGCACCTGAGCCAGCCTCCAGAGGATGAGCTGGACAGGCTGACGAAGAAGCTGGTGCACGACATGAACCACCCGCCCAGCGGGGAGTACTTCGGTGAGCTGAGGCTGTGGAGCGGGTGGGGCGTGGGAAGGGAGGCTGGGAGACAGAGGCGACAGTGGCTTCCTGGGTCTGTGAAGACTGATGCTGTTTCTCCCTATCCTCAGGCCAGTGTGGTGGCTGCGGAGAAGATGTGGTCGGGGACGGGGCTGGGGTTGTGGCCCTCGATCGCGTCTTTCATGTGGGCTGCTTTGTGTGTTCTACATGCCGGGCCCAGCTTCGGGGCCAGCATTTCTATGCCGTGGAGAGGAGGGCGTATTGCGAGGGCTGCTACGTGGTGAGTGGCTGGGGTTGTGGGGAGGGAGTCAGCGACTGGATGCAGGGAGCTTCCATCCAAGGTGGGAACTAGAGCATCCAAGCCCAAAGGAGGAACGGTGCTAAAAGGCAGGTGACTGAAAGTGATGTACAAACAGAGAGGAATTCTGCAAGTATCAAGCAAGTAGCTTAACACTGGTGGCTGGAGGGAAGGATGCAGCTCTTACAAGTGTGGAGCGTCTTACAGTTAAAGAGAATGTGTTAGATTCCCACGACACCCCTGTGAGGCAGGTATTACTACTGATTCCTGTTCCTCTTTTTCTTTCTTTCTTTCTTTAATTTGAGACAGAGTCTCGCTCTGTTGCCCAGGCTGGGGCGCAGTGGCACGATCTCTGCTCACTGCAACCTCAGCCTCCCCTGGTTCAAGCGATTCTCATGCCTCAGCCTCCCGAGTAGTTGGGATTACAGGTGCCCACCACCACACCCAGCTAATTTTTGTATTTTTAGTAGAGACAGGGTTTTACCATGTTGGCCAGGCTGTTCTTAAACTCCTGGCCTCAAGCAGTCCGCTCACTCTGTCCTCCCAAAGTGCTGGCATTACAGGCATGAGCCACTGCACCCAGCCTGATGCCTGTTTTTCTCATAGTGGTTAAATGCTGTGTGTAGTGCTGGGACCTGAACTCAGATCTGGTCAAGTCTGCCTTTCACCGAATTACATGCAGGGGGCTGCAGAAATTAGATGGCTGGGTTGCTGGGGTGCCTGTTGTGCTGCCATGGCTCCCGCCTGCTCCCAGACCTTCCTGCCTTCCTTCCCAACAGGCCACCCTGGAGAAATGTGCCACGTGCTCCCAGCCCATCCTGGACCGGATCCTGCGGGCTATGGGGAAAGCCTACCACCCTGGCTGCTTCACCTGCGTGGTGTGTCACCGTGGCCTCGACGGCATCCCCTTCACGGTGGATGCTACGAGCCAGATCCACTGCATTGAGGACTTTCACAGGTCAGGCCCAGGCTCCACCTCGTCTCACAATGTCTGACCTTTCCTGTCCCTTTCATCTCTTCATGCCCCAGGACTGTCTCTCCCTGTTTCCCACCCCTGGCCCTCCTTCATTCTTTGTTATTGTTATTTTTTAGAGACAAGAGTTTCACTCTGTTGCCCAGGCTGGAGTGCAATGGCAAATGATCATAGCTCACTGCAGCCTCCAACTCCTGGGCTCAAGTGATCCTCCCACCTCAGCCTCCTGAGTATCTGGGACTACAGGTGCACACGCCACCATGCCTGGCTAGTTTTCTTCGTTTTTTGTTAGCTTTTTTTTTTTTTTTTTGAGATGGAGTCTCGCTCTGTCACCCAAGCTGGAATGCAGTGGCAGGATCTCAGCTCACTGCAACCTCTGCCTCCTGG